GGAAACATCCAAATATTTATGAAAACAACCCAGAGAGCACCACCATATTCCTTCATATACCTTTACTGTAAGAAGAATGCAAGAAGCAAACTTCTTTTTAACTCTTAAAATGCGTGTGGTAGTTTAGCCTCTAAACATCAAAGTTGTAATTCCATTTTGTTTGCACTCACTGTAAAACAGTTCAGCACTTTAAGGGTTAACTGACAATAAATGTGATAGATTATAAAGTAAATTCACAAAAAAAACTCTGCATATAAATTTAAAACTAATAAAAAAAAAAAAACACAGACTGATGAGCAATACTTCCAATTTGATAGACTACCTAAGATATGAAACACTTAATATAAAGTAAAGGCCGACTGACTAATAATTATACTCAAGACTAACCTTCCAAAAATCATCCACACTAGAAATGGTGCGGAATGAAATACCTTCAGGACTCCTCACTTCAAGAAAAAGATCCATCATCACTTTGGTGTAATAGTACATGTTGGTTGAGGACATTCCAAAAGCAACTGCAATCAAAGAGGATTTAAGTTATGACTAGATAGACAATAATTCATGTTACTTATTATATAATTATTATTATTATTATAGCTTTTATATAGCGCTACTTTCATGCTTATAGCATGCTCAGAGCGCTTTGGTCCAATCTCATTTGTGAATCAATAAGTCATTTAAGGATAGATCCAAGGAAGGTAGTGAAACCTCTTTAGAAAAAGAATTGGTGTGCATGGGGGGGACGCTGTGTATTTGAAATAGACATGTAACATAGAGAAGCAGCAATGCAAGACTACAACTTTTTTTATTTTAGATATAGTCAAGGAGAAATAAAGACAGACCTATCCATGACATGAATCCCCAAACTCATCAACTATGTTTCTTATCTTTGCACAATCTAAAATGGTTCTGTTATAGAAATTAGGGCTTTGGCTTTAATTACATACATGCAGGGACTGACGTAGGAGCTATATATTTGTCACGGATGAATGTTGGTACGAGTGTATAATCTATTTGTCTGTTGGAATGCATGCGCGAATGACCGGAAGTGTGTTAGTTGTAGACAAGAGAGAGACCAGTGTGCCATGAAGTATAATAAAGTTTCTGTGTTTTGATCGAGTTGTGAAGTGTTTGATGTAACTACAACTGAACCCAGGGACACCTAGACTTGGAGAGAAATAAATATAGTTTCTAGAAAGCTATTGAATTATAAATATAGTAGAAAGCTTAAACAGTATTTATGCAAATAACTCATACAATAAAGATGTTAAGCAATTTTCATACAAGAGTAAAATACTTTTCCCCTCCATTTTTTTTTTTAAAGTTTAGATTTATATTTGTTCAAAGTAATGTTACTTAGAGATAAAGACAATGTACTGTGTTACTTACTAATACAGACAAATATTAGAAATAAAACATAGATAACCAACTCGCGAAATGTTCTCTGGACCAAAAGTTCCTGGTCTTCTTTCACATCAGATGTGTATCTTGTATTCCAGATTGCTAGAGGAGACAAAGTTTAATTGTATTTCAGATGTGGAAATGTATTACATTATTTACACATTACTAAGCACAAAATTCTTTTAGCTTCAGATTATTCTTCATTTAAATACCTCCAACTATAATAAGACAATGATATTCTTCTGGTTGGATAAAAACAACAAATGGAATAGCATCATAAGGTTACTTTGACTTACTCCCAAGAAGCCTTCTAAGAGGACTATCCTTTTTTCCAGTATCCTTATCAATATTGATATCATCGTCTTTATCAGCCATGGGAAAATGATTTTCCTGAAACTAAAAATTCTGACATTTCATTTTTTAAAATGTATTTTACAAGAGTCTTAAATATTCTCAATGAGTGTGTATGATAGAAAATTATTTTTTTCCCTACTTACACTGCTTCTGCTAGAACAGGGGTTCTCAACCTGTGGGTCGCGACCCCTTTGGGAGTCGATTGACAATTTGCCAGGGGTCGCCTAAGACCATCGAAAATATGAATTGTTATTGTCTACCCTACAATTCTGTATTTGTGTATGCGGGGGGGGGGGGTGGCAGAGTGGGGGATTGTAAAAAGGGTCGCCGAGCTTAAAAGGTTGAGAACCGCTGTGCTAGAAAATATGAGATGAAAATTACATGGCCAACAGAATGAACCCAATCTTTAATTATATCACTACCCGAGAAAGGAGACTTGAGACAATTCCAAAACTATAGAAACATAAGTCAGATCAGTCAAGGATGCATTCTCTCTCCAGCTCTTTTTAACACATTTTTGGAGCATTTTATATTGGAAACTTTAGAAGGATTTACTCCTAGCTTGACCATAATTGGGTGGCCTATTACACTTTCAAGTGTGCAGATGATGTAGACATCATTGGAGAAAATGCAGACCAGGTGAAACATCTTACTTCAAAACTGGATGCTGCAGCTACAGCAGTAAGCATGGAAATCAGTGCTGAAAAAAGCAAAATATTAGTTTGCGGTGGAGTTATTGCATACAGTTGAAAGACCAAACAATAGAAGAAATTGACTCATTTAAATACTTAGGCTCAAACATAACATGAGATGGGGTATCAATAAAAGAGAAAATCTATTTAAGCTTGGCATCCACTGTCATGAGCAAACTGTGGAAAATCTAGAAATGTAACATCACCTTCAAAGTAAAATTAAAACTGTATTCTTCACTTTGGTCTTTGTACTCCTATATGGTTGTGAAAGACAATGAAAGCTGAGGCTGAATGAAGAATTCACGCCTTTGAGAGTAAAAGCTACTAAAAATACTGGGTATCAGATACCAGAAAAAGAAGACAAATGAGTTAAAACTTTTACAAGTCAACAATCTGGCTACAAAAAGGAGGAACTTCTCAATACAGTGAAAGACGAACGATGATGTGGTTTTGTCATATTTTAAGACATGACTCACTATTAAAAGTCATCCTTCAATGTAAATTGGAGAGACCACATGAAGAAAGAGTCATCCAAAGAAACATACAAGTATGGATCAGACACTCTCTTGATATCCTGGAAGTTAGTACTACTGACTGGGGAAAGTGGAGGAATATATTAGGTTATGTGAACTGTCACAGCACCCTTAGACGAGAGTCAAGGGATAGATGAGATATGATTGCCTTCCTTCCTAATCTTTATTAGGCTAGCCGCTAATGTCGTGGTACAGAACTTGAACTATTTACTTTTTAATTAGCAGTATTACTAGGCTACGTCATTCGCACTTCATTGAATTTCAATGTGAATTTCATATGTCAATTTTTGAATCTAGTGTTATCTTATAAAATACAGAAGTCATGCATGTTAATCAATGACTAGAAGCCATTAAATTGATTTAGATTTAAGACGCCGCTTACTATTAATAATGTAATCTATACCTTATTTAACAAACATTAAAGTAAATTAAAGTGCATTCTACTGATTCTTAAGTTAGTAGAAACTATACACAAGCTGTCGTTTTACTTCGAATTAACCAGATTTTAAGCATTTGTGGTCTTAACAAGCAGTTTTTCTTCTGATTAATATTTGTATTTATTTGCAATAAATAGCTTATTATCCTATAATATGCTAAAGACCTACTAAATCTATGATACTGCTAGAGGCTGTACATCAAAACAAATAAAGCGTTGAAAAATAAGTTGCATTTTAATCTTTTACAGTTTTTAGTTCTAGATCTAAAAGCTTCTTTACAATACATGTCTAAATAAAACGCAATTAGGCATACTAAAGAAAAGAAAAAAAGTTTAGTTTGTTATTATTGGCGTTACTATGCCAACGCGTCGCAGCTAAGGAATAAATTCTGAGCTTGAAATATCAAAGTTGTAAATAGATATCTAAGTATCACTTGATATAAAATTGTAAAGGTTTTCATTCATATTTGTTAGTTTGTGCTTCACCTTCACCTATCCCTTAGGAAGGCTAAGTATGTTGGATCCTTGGTAAGCCACGTCATATGATCTTTCTTTTGCCATGATTAGAATCCGCTGTTGTTACCGGTCGTTGACTTGTACTACTTGTAGCACCAAACTGCTGGAAGACAACTAAACCACTGTAGGCGTAATATATCTTAATTAATAAAACTTCAAATAACTTCCTTGTGGGCAATACTAAATATAACTTTATTCATAAAATTGACAAAATCTAGTTGTGATAAAATGAAATAAATGTAGTAGACTTTAGTAATAATATTTTTAACAAAATGAGGATAATGACACTTGCCAGTTTTTCGCTGCAAATTATGCCTATTTTAAAGCATTGTGTGCTTAAAAACATATTTTAAGTATTTTTAAGTTCAACGGTTCAGGAAGAAACAAAATCGTGTCACTTCAACAACTGACAATGATGTTTCAATTAAGGATTTTAACATATGAAAGAAAAATTAGCAAATTGATGAATTATGTATAAGCCAAGCGTGTATCAAGAGGCTGTCTATATACTCGCCCCTTGAAACCTCTGTACAAGACAAACTGCATACGGAAATCACTGCGCAGTTTATCTCAGACATAGGACTGGCTATTTAAAGCCTCAAATATTGTAGACAAAAACATCTTTTAGCCTTCACAAAACAAAGGTCTACTAACCATCGTAGCATACATGAATTTCAAGATTATAACTATATTAATATCTGATGAAGACTAAATTAATGTGTTAATAAACTGTTCAACTAGATCTAGAAGTAAGTGAAGTTTTACTTTTTAAATCAAAATGACAAACATTAGTCTCATGAACTTGTTTAATATAAAATCAAACTCAGGGATTGTTATAACCATTTTTTTTTGTCTCCTGTTGTGTAGCTATTTTTTTTATTCTTTTTTTTTAAAGTGGGCTTCCAATCCAACCTGAAGATTCTAGCCAAGCAGTTATTTGTTTAATGAATGAAAGGCTGGGTTTTATTTTTTCTGAATCCATGTCCCAGCTGTTTACAGGGAAATCTCTGATAAAAACCCAAGGCAAATCTTGAAATGAAATAATAATAAAGAAAAACAACAAATGTCAGATGCTTCTTCTATTTCTTTACTTCTACTTCAGGACACCAATTATAGAGAAAAAATTACAAAAGAAAAACATAAAGAAGAAAGTGTGCCATTAATAGAACAACAAAAAAAAAAAAACAGTAACAAATTTAAACAAAATAAAAAAAAAAGTATTGCAAAATGTTAATTGATTCTTTATATGTATAAAATAAAAAAAATGGATTTGTACTTTCTGAATTTATGATTAGAGTACAGTTTCAAAACGAGACAGAGACCCATATTAAACTAATAGTTTTACAATCAACAAATGTGACATGAAATCCAAAATCAAAAGTAAACACAACTTTTGGATACAAAATAGAAGCACAATGTTGGAGTATAGCCATGGACGGACTTGAAAGGGGAGGGAATCAATGTTTGTAAGTCACATGATTTCATCAATAATACGAAGTTAAACTGCAATATATGCTAAATAATAATATAAAAAATAATAATACTTTCTATCAATAATCAGCAGTTGATTTGATTAAACAAAAGGAACAACACAATAATGTAATCTGGGCACCTGACCAATGGGAGAGGTTTGTTAGTTCACTTGTATCTGACAAACAAAAGATTATTCAAGTGTTTACATACATTTGGTTTCAAAATCTGCATATAATGACATCTTGTAGGGAAAAACAAGAATGAATAAAGCGTTCATCAGTTAAATACTAAGTTTATATCTTTATACTAACAAAATTCTAGATTGAGTATGGTGACTGCAAAACGATTATTTGTAGAAAAAAAGTTAAAGTTATTATCAGGAATTTAATTAGATCCATTGGGTATCGTGTCTACTATGAATATTAATTGACATATAGAAAACATTAGAGTTTAATAAATTAGAACAATCAAGTCATATTTCATTAAAACTTGTTTTTTAAACAGAAAAGGAAGGGTAAAGATGGCCAGAGCTATTAAAGATTTTTACAAGATGATAAATTTTTTATTTATTTTTTTTTTTTAAACAAAAAACTTATCTTGCCAACTGGACACCAAGTAACATTCATAGTCAGTCAAGGCGTCACACTAACCATTTTTAATATTTTCCTTAATGTGCAGATAGTGGCCAGCTAGTTATTTTTATATATATTTTTTTGTTATATAGCTTTAACAGTTTAATGAATACTAGTTATAAGACTTAGGAGTAGTTTCTCTTAATTGGTGCTGACATGCAGGTTGTTTGTACATAAAAATGTATAGTGCTTTGCAAGGTTTGCCATAATTAATTCAATTGGGATAATGTTTTTTCACAAGTTTTCACGAGAAGCATAAGCAAGATCTACATCTAGACTTCTGAGTGTGAACGAAAAGGGGGGGGGGGGGGGGAGAATATCACAGATTTTTCAGACAACAGTTTCTTGATGAATTCATAGAGATTCATAAATTTTTCCATAACAAATTTTACAATGTGTCAATAACAGAGTGAACAAAAAAGTTACAATAAAGTTTATATTTCATATTGAGATGTACAAAAATTTGACTAGTCTGTGACAGCTTGAATATAATATTAATTGATAAAGTTACACAAAAATTCTTTGAATACCTTACAAAAACTATCAACATAAAATGTCTCTCACAAAGTCACTGCTCTATCAAAGTGCTGGTTCACAAGCTAATTGAACAACAATTAAATACAAATTAACCAAGTCATTGATTCAGTAAACAGGTCTTAAGTCATTTCAAACCAATTGACCTGCAAGCTCATTGGCTATAAACTTGAGGTCATGTGATTGTCTTTGGGATCCTGAAAAGTAAAAAAAAAATTGATCTAGAGAAACACCATCACAAATTTTCTAGATAAATGTAAAAAATATTATTATACCATCTCATTATTATTTGTTTACTTGTGATTTAAACACTTAAAACTTGTAATTTTTAAAGCTTAGTCATGTTTGCATACATTATTTATACATTTATTTCAGGGAAGCGACAAAATGATACAATAAATTATTCAAGGTCAATATTTGATTCAACAGCTTGAAAAAATATTCTATCAAAAACTTTACAATTAAACTCAAAGCAAAGTCATCATCATCATCTTCAAACTCCATTTAAGTGAGGGCTTGAGAGGCCAAAGCAAAGTGGATCTCAATTGTTAAAATCATTAAAAAAAAACTTATATACTCAAGCTGTTAGCAACAATTAATGAATGACATTATTCTTCAAAAAAAAAAAGTTTTTAGTTGTGAACTTAACAAAAAATGTGATGCCAACTATTGGAATTATAGTCAGACTTAAATTATGTCCAGCATGCTCCTATCATACAATTATTAATTATCTTTAAGAAATTAGATTTGTTTAGTTCTGAACTAAAGATTTTTATATAGCTGTCATTATTAATGCAATAAAAAAAAAAGGCTACGTTTATTCTTGGATGTCTCTCGATATTTCAGACAAGGTTTGTCCTGGAAAAAAAAAAGATAAAAGCTCATCAAGATTTGACTGCTGCAGAAGGTACTATTGAAAATTGACACCTTTAGCACAAGAAATCTTGCTTTACTGCCATCACTCATATACCCGATATCAACTTAACTTTCAGAATTGTAGATATCAACTTAAATTTCATAATTGTAGAGACGCATTTTCAGAGAAAGACTTTAAAGGCAACAATAATATTCTCTAATCTCAGACTTGTATATTTTTAACATCAGGAACATAAACAAATTTATGTTTAGTATTATATATAGAAATGATATGTACAGATAAAAACTAAAGAGTGTCCTTGTGAATGACTTATTTCCAAGATGTGACATGGGCACGAAATAAGTTCTTAATAAATATGTGAAGTCAAACCAAGCTGATAAACAAACATAAACACATTTACCACTAAACATCTGATGACTGGAGATAAATTTGTAAGTAATATTCAGAGAACAAACCAAACAGCAAACAATTTTTAGCATAAATGGGTAAATAAAGGAAAAATACTTTATTATGAAAGAAGCTTGTTCCTACAAAATGAACTATAAAAACTGAACAGTGGATAACATTTTATTGAATTCGGCTTTCTTTGCTGAATACCTTTTCAGTGATTTATATTGTACAGTAAATGTTCAACAATAAGGAAAAGTGTGGCTACCTATCAAGAAGGCTCAAGTTTGAATGCAGAATGCCGACTCTGAGTTGTGTTTAAGTCTGCAAGGAAACCTTCTCCCTGATATCCCCTTCCCCCACCACAAAAGAGATTAAACCAGAGTACACTGAGCATGCTAGGGACTCTATACTCAAGTAATTTTTACAAAATAAAGAGAAATAGATAGTAATGAATAAAGCATTCTGATAGGCTTTTATTCTTTTTATTTGAGCATTTATGACAATGACATTTTATGCCCCTAGGGATGGTTTTTATGCCCTGACATAAGACACCCATCCCTAACATGCAATATTACAAGCAAAGTTTAAGACAAGAACCTACCCCTGATTCAGCTCTGGAACGTGGTCTCAGTCCACTCTGCCCACTTCCACCCCCTGGTGATGCTCCCCTGGCACTATGCACACCGACAGAGGTTTCAGAATCCCACCTTTCCAATTCCTCTCTGACCAACTTCTCCATCTGTTCCCGCTTCACTTCATCACTTGTACCATCAGACTAGTGAAAAAAGCAAACAGCAAGTTTTTAGCTAAACCATGTTACAACGAAGACATTGTCACAACTATTACACGTTATAGTGAATTTTTAACAGATTTGAAGTTCATTATCTGCCATTTTCCAAGAAAACCTCTTGTATCCAGCCACAACAGAATGTCCCGTAAAAAGGGTAGCATGGAAAGAAAACTTTAAATAGACCCCCGGCGGACAGCTGTCCCAGCCGAGTTTGTGTAGTCATGTGAAACATTGCACTAATCCTTAATCTTCATAATTGACAATATGAATTCTATGACACAGAAATCCTTCTCTAATCAGTACATATCATATTTCCTTCGTGCTCCTGGAACCTAAGGCCTCAGTTAAAAATGCCAGTCTCCATTTGCTAATTTTTAAATGGTTTCACAGCTTATTCCTGTTCTCTTGGCTTCATCTAGTACACTGCGTCATCATGTTCTTTTTGGTTTTCCTCTGCGTCTTGTGCCCTGGGGGTTTCACTCTAAGGCCTGTCTAGCTCTGTTGTTGGTATCTTTTCTAAGGGTGTGACCAATCCATCTCCAGTTTCTCTCTAAGATCTGCAATTCACTCATTCAAGCTTTCTTTGATTGAGGAGAAACAAAGAGAGGAAACAAAATATTTCTTCGCTGACAGTTGATATGTTGACTCCAGTACATGATTGGGTAACCCAATTGGGTAAGCAGCGAGGGGCACACATGACTGGTCAGCTCATTAACACAGCCACCAAATAAGAATGCCTAGACCAACTTTTTTTTACCCCCTACATTATTTAGCAAGAAATAAGCAAAATTATATTTTAAAAAAAATTGGGTACAAATTTAAAGAGCATGGTCAAATTTTAGGAGAATCCTTGCAAAATTTAGGAGAATTTGAGGATTTTAGGAGTGCTGTAAAACCTGTAGTAAGAATAAATGAAAGGATGAAGAAATGTTTAATAGTTGAGTTGTCATAGAGCTCTTATATTTTTTCTGAGATTTATAAGTTAACTGTGACACAAAAGACTTGGTTATTTTGGTGCTTGTATAGGCTAGCAGGACTTGGATGATAGTGGTGAAGAAATTATTTTATTTTCCCTATTATAGATTAGGAAAGCTTTAACTAATGATGTCAGCAGTGTAACATACATGTTGATTTGTCTTCACTTAGGGTATGTAAATCTTATAAATCTTATCAAGAAACTTCACTTTTACTTACTTCTGTTATGCTGTCTAAAATCTTCCCCATTGTTTCTCTGCGTTTCAATTTAGCTTTCTCCATAGCTTCTAACTTGACTAATACAGCATCAATTTTAGAAACTATACTTCCAATGGAATGCTCCATTCGGTCCACACGCCTTGATAAGACAGTAAACTCTTCATATGAAACACCATTGGAAGTGCGCCCAGTCCGAGAAGACTTGGTCCCACTGTCTTCGTCATCGCTGTCGTCTCCACTGTCCCCTTCATTAAAACTGGCCCGACTGCTGGAGCGACGACCTGTGCCTGGCCTATCACCTTTACCATTGAGGTCTTCATATTCTTTATTGAGAGCAGCCTAGTTGTAATAAAAGGAACAAAATCTTAGAATTAAGACAAGTGTTGCTTATTTCTTTAAAGAATATTATTTAGGATTAAGCAAGTAGCAGACGAATATTTCCAACTTTCAGATCTGGCGGTTTAAAAATGAATATTAACTCTTTCTCTCCTAATCCACAATACTATTGTTGATTTTATCCCATTCTGCAGCCTAATCAACTATATTATCGTCGATGCTTAAATGTCAGTTGCTTTGTTTTCTTTACTTACAAAATACTTTGAATTGCTTATAAATAAAGTATGTTTTTAAAGAGTGGGGGGGGGGGGGGGGGCTAAAAAGGCTCTATTTTTTTATATTAATTTTTTATTGGGGGAGTATGTTATGGGATAGTGGCCTCATGACAATCAATATAAATGTTTTACATATGTTTTAATTAAGTTTTTTAAAATATAATTAGCTATCATAAAAAAGACTTTTTATTCAATATGGATCATAAAATATAGCTAGTTTTAAGAGAGACTTGTCCACAGTCTGTAATTTTGTTATCTTTAAATATGATTATATAAAATAAACTTTTTTTTGGGTTTATAAACAATTTGTATTATCTAAAAAGGGTGTGCTTTTTCCTTAATTGTGTACCAAATATAACAGTTTCTGATAACAAACAAAAAAGTTATTCAAGTTTTAATTATAACAGGGTACTGAAATATAACTGAGCAAAATTAATAATTCTGACGGAACATGGAAAATCATTACGGATAGAGTTCAAAGGTAATGTAGGACTTACTTTCTGATCTGCCAAGTCTGCTTGCATTCTTTTCTGCTCCTCTTCATCTAGAACACGATCGCCATCACAATCATATTTGGAAAACATAGCCTCAATTTCACCATCAGCATAGCCTCGTCTAGCAAAGATTCATTAAGAAATGAGGTCAATATAAAATCTTATATGTGCAAACAAGTCAATACTTAATTATGTCATGACACTACGATGTCCTTACGACTTGAGATCTTGTCTCCACTCATCAAAGTCCAGCTGTTTGTCCTGGTTGATATCTGCTGTACGCAGGGCCTTCTGGATGTCTACAATCTTGTCTCTCTTAAAGTTTAATTTGTCCAACATTTTCTCATAGCCCTAATAGATGGATAGAGGAAATTTTAGACAAACTGGGGAAAGTTATTTTAAAAGATTCTTTATTTTCA